CAGCCATCAGCAAACACCCCCCAGCAGCACCTCAGATGTTCTCCTGACGATGCTCTGCGTGACCTTCAACATGTACTTGTACTCTGTCAGCTCCAGCAGGTTCTTCCGCAGTTTTTCTTTGTTTTTGGTGACTTCCCTCAGTTCTGTCTCCAGCTTCTGCAGCTGCTCCTAAGACACAGAGGGGGGAAAAAAGAGACACAGAATCAGTGACACAATTTTGGAAAACAGAGCAGAATTCATTTTCAGCACATGTTATTTGCTACAATTATGGGAGTTTTGTGATTTCTTAATTAACTAAAACTCCACAGGTTTTATCCCTCAGTCTGCCAGAGAGTGCTTTGTGTTGAGTACACTTGATCTTCCACTAGCATCTAATAAGTCTGTTCTGCCCTTATTAGTAAAAGAATCAGAACTGCAGATAGCACAAAGTGGAAGACACCCATTTATTCCTTTAATAGAATTACAGCAAAACAGAATGTTATTCAAAATTATCTCTGTGTTTTCCAAGCTTCTTTTCTAACAAAACACAAGAAACCAGCACTGGCACCTGCAGAGCCTTGGGCACATAAAACTCCCCCCCACCTGGAAATTTTGGATGCACAAAGAGTCACAGGGAGTGCCAAAGCAATAAATTTAGTCTGGAACAGCTAAACATGCCAATCCCTCCAATCCAGGGGGTGACTGCACACCCCAGGACTTGGCTTTGACCCTTCCCAGGGATTTTGTGTTAATACCAAAGCCTCCCTGGCAGGCTTTGAAGTGACTCTGGCAGGAAGGAAAACAATCAGACAGAAAGGAAAGCCAATGTTTCTGTCTCCACTGCCACACCCCTACATTGAAGTGCTAATAAAACAGCAAGTAATTAAGCCTGCAATTAAATTCCAAAAGCCTCCACTTGGGCAACAATTTAGTGGAAAAGTTACCTGGATTTCTAAAATGTGCTTCAGCAGAGGGGCAGGAGGAGCAACATCTCCTTCGGGAAGTGAAATCCCCGCCTTTTTAATTTCTTGTACTAAATAGCCTGGAGTGAGGAACAAAACAGAATCAGAAAGGAAACTGCACTGCCTGACACCTCCTACAAGGCTGCAGAGCTGACCTTCAGCTGTTCTTGCTGGTGCTGATCATCTGCAGCACCAGGCCCTGGCTATTTCATTCATTCATTTTAGCAACCACACATTAATCTGCAAAAAAAGAGGGACTTAACAGAGCATAAGGGAGAAAACACACCCAACATTCCCACCTTGGAAGTTTGCACAAGTGAGTGAACTTCAGAAGCCTGTGATGGAAATTTCCCAACCAACAAGTACCTTGTAAGAAGCTTTAACATTTCCCAGAACCTCTTCCTTGCTGCACAACATCAGTTTTTATCACATAATCATTTTCTGCCAGAAATGGCCATTCTGCTCATTGACCCATGTTTGGAATAAAAAGTGCTCCAAGAAGGAGGCTTAAGGAACTTTGACACACATGCAACTCCCACTGGGCAGGGAGATGATTGCCAAAATAGCTGCTGGCACGGCGTGGCATGACCAGCACGTGCCTCTGGTGAGAGATCCCAACAAAAGGAATCCTTCAATGGCAACTTTTCCTCAGGATACACCAAGGAAATCTGCATCTGCAATGCTCTGCAAACCCTCTGTTCATTAACTGCCATGAGAACAGATTACTGATAACTTCATTACTGATAAAGGTATTTCTGAGGGTGCTTGGAAGATCAAAAACATGAAAAAACAGGGAATATCTTACAGTCAAGGTAATAGCCAGAGTAAAGCTCTCATTTTCCTAACAGAGTTTTAAGCCATCAGTACTGAAACAGTCTCAATTATTTATCAGCAAAACATTAGCAAATGTGCTTCGCCTCTGAGCTTAAAAAAGCCCTGACCTATATTTAGTGTAAGTGAATTTCACAGCTCACAAAACCAAAGAAAGTCATCTCCAGCTCTAAAAATCCACATAAAGAACTCAACAGATGAGTGTATGGATGGGTATTTTTCAATACATATGAAAATTCAGTGAGTCTGCAGCAGTCAGCCCACATAACCTGTAGATGAAACCTTCACTGGAGCTCCACTGCAGAAATGAAAACTTTATTAAAGTCATGGCTGAGAAAGATCAGACAGGAAAATAAGCTCACCGAGTATTCTTTCCATCTCTTCACATTTCTTCACTTCATTCACGTATTTTCTCTGAAATACACTGACATTGGGGTTAAGCTGAAGGAGAAGGACAAAATTCTTAATCAGAGACTGAACACAGCGACATCCCTAAAAATCCACAGCTGTTCTGTGACTTCCTAGAGACACTCTGCACGTGTTCTGGGTGCTCTCTCTTTCTAAAGTGCTTTTCAGCAGAGAAGGTACAAAAACCTAAAAAGATCAGGAAGTCTTCAAATGGCAGACTTGGTTTTATTAAAGCAGAATCATCCATGCTATTTCCTGGTTGTACTCAAATAAAAAAAAAAATCAATGAGATCTCCTGGAGAAACCATTCCAAATCTTAGTTCTACAGTTTTAAAATATTGCTTAATGACTTCAAATTAGCAAACCTTCCTACAAACATATTTGTTGTGGTGGATTTCCACCACATCAATGTTAAATGTTAAGTTTTAAAAGAATCTTTTTATGTACATCCCCCTACCATGAGTGCAATGTCTCTGCCTACTTATTCAGCTTTTAAATCAGAACCAATGATGTTTTATTTCTACAATAAATGGTGTGTCAAGTGACTGGAATGGCATCAAAATGTTAAACATACACTCACATAATCATCCTTACAGATCTGCCTCCTCCTCCCTGCCATATTTACTAACCAGCTGTTAATCTGAGTTCTCCCAGCTTTCCCTGCAAAGATTCTGCAACCTGCATTTCTGATGCATATTTAGAAGAAATTCCAAAGTCTCAGTCAGCAAGCAAACATCATATAATTATGATGAGGCGATGCAGCAAGAAGGTTAATTATTGCCCAGCCCAGCAGTCAGGCAGGCAGTTCCCTGCAAGGTGAATTGCTGCTCCAGGAACAGACGTGTTTGACAAAGCAGGAGCCTGCGATGCTGAAGAAACAAACCCACAGAGCAGCTGTTCCAGTGGGGTGGACACGTCACCGAGCTGTGCACACACGCTCACACCAAAGGCACTGGGGCTCCACGTGGCCCAGGGGGTCCCCAACAGGGTCCCACTGCAAGTAACTCCCGAGTTGAAGCTAATTCGGTGATTAGGTGGGATGCAGCCACCCCAAAGCAGGGAGTGTCAGGGAGGTCCGGGCTCCAAACTGCCTTCCCATCACCCATCCCACCTGCCTGGAGCCGTTCCTGTGTCACCTGCTCCAGGGACCCTGCCTCGGAGCCGTTCCTGTGTCACCCGCTCCAGGGACCCTGCCTCGGAGCCGTTCCTGTGTCACCCGCTCCAGGGGACCCTGCCTGGAGCCGTTCCTGTGTCACCTGCTCCAGGGACCCTGCCTGGAGCCGTTCCTGTGTCACCTGCTCCAGGGACCCTGCCTGGAGCCGTTCCTGTGTCACCTGCTCCAGGGACCCTGCCTGGAGCCGTTCCTGTGTCACCCGCTCCAGGGGACCCTGCCTGGAGCCGTTCCTGTGTCACCTGCTCCAGGGGACCCTGCCTCGGAGCTCCAGAGCTCCCTTCCCACCCCAAGGACTCTGGGATCCAGGGGAACAGACCCAGCGGAAGGCGACCCGGGACCAGCCATCCACCTGCGTGTCCGTGGCGGGGAAAGCCGAGAAGGGCAGCGGTCCCGGAGCCCGCACCTTCCCGGCGGCTTCCCCGGGGCCCGGCTCTGCTCCCCCCAGCCCGGGCCCCCCGGTACTCACGTCTCGGAACTCGGCCAGGCCGCGCTCTCCCACCTCGCTGAGGCACTCGTAGGCCGAGCCGCTGCGCAGGTCGAGCTGCACCAGGCACATGGGCTCCCCGCGGAACAGCGCGCCCATGGCGGCCGGCGCGGCGGGGCCCGGGGGGCTCAGCGGGGCTCGGCGGGGCCGGCGGCCGCACAGCAGCGGCGCCCGGGGGCGGCCATGGCGGGGCGGAGCGGCCCGGCCCGGCCCCGGCAGCGGCTTCCGGGGCGGGGAACGGGCGGAGAACGCGGGCTGAGCTCGGGCACCGGCACCGGCCCCGGCCGGGGAGCCGCTCAGCGGGAGGGGCTGCTGTGGGAGAGGATGGACGGGAGGAGCGCGTTAACGAGAGAGCACGGCACAGTCACTGCATGTTAAGGTGTATGCGTTACATACGGTCACTGAATTTAAGGGGGTGGGAAGGGACCTCACTATCGTCCGATCCCAACGCCCCTGCCCTGGGCAGGGACACGTCCCACTAGCCCAGGTTGCTCCAAGCCCCTAACCCCTAACCCTAACCCAGCCTGGCCTTGGACACTTCCAGGGATGGGGCACCCTCACCTTCTCTGGGCAGCCTAAGCCGGGGTCTCCCACCCTCACAGGGAAAAATTTCTTCCCAATATCCAGCCTAAATTTCCCCTCTTTCAGTTTATACCCATTACTCCCTGTCCTATCACTACAGCTCCTGACAAAGAGCCCCTCTCTGGTTCCCTTCAGATACTGGAAGGTGCTCTGAGGTCTCCACGCAACCTTCTCAGCCTGTTCCCACAGGGGAGGTGCTCCAGTTCTTTGATCAGCTCTGTGGCCCATCCAAACCACAAAGAAATCCCCAACATTGTGTTTCTCCACCTGAGGACCATCGATGAATGTTTCCCACCCTGTGGAGCCTGGGTCAGACACAGCAGGTTGCCAATGCAAAGCATTCACTGGAAAAGAGAATTTCAGGTGGACACATGGAAAGAGCTGAAGTGTTGTGACTTTTCTGAAGTGTGAGCAGACTGCCCACTGCTCCAAAAATAGGAGTTTGCTGTGAAGAGGAGCTTCTACTGCAGGAGAAGAGAAGCAGCTTGAGAGGATAAAGATCCATCCATGAGGATGAGCCCAGCCCTGCTGCAGCCTCTGGGTTGAACTCACCACCCTCTTGAAGTCAACTCTGCACTTTGCTGCTCCCAGCACCGAGTCTGGAGCTTAAAAATAATTTATTACTTTTGGGTTAAATAACACAGCCATTTTCTGTGTGTAAAAGCACTGATTTTATGTATTTTTAAATGTTTATACAAATCGTCTACAAGATCCAAGAATATTTCTCCATAATTTTTACCTATCTGTTCCATAATTTAGAAAACCAAGGGCTGCTCATAATTACTGCAAGTAAAACAAGAAATGCCAGTAGCAGGCCTTTAGCAAGACACTGGGAATATGGTTCTCCTGCAAAAAAAATTAAAAAAGAAAAAAAAAAAAGTGTATGAGACCTAAATTTTAGTTTAGACAGATTAAAGTATACACATTAATGCAGCACAAAGCAAGGACATAAAATGCTTCACACTTGTGAAACTTGATGCTTTGTTAACTTTAGTCCCTGAAGTTGTGCAGAGAATAAACACAGGCAGTTGCCTCTGGCACTCCCAGAAGAGTCCAAGGGCCTTGATGCTCCTTGAAATCCCACACATTTAATCTAGGGAGTCTCCCACGAAACATAACCCACCACAGTTTCACACAGAAGAAATTTAAAAATTATCTGTCTTAACAACATGGCAAATTTTTGCTGGCAAAGTGAGAAATGAAGTCTCCCTCCACCCTTCAAGAGCAATGACACACTCTGACAGTGCTACAATTATAGGACAACATCATAAAGTGACATATTCTTTGCCTTAACCAGCACATGTCCCTCCAAACCCCACAGGAGAGTGAAAAAGAACCTCTCTCTGCCAAACTGATGCTCACAAAATTTCAAGCTTGCCCAGAAAGTACATCTAGTAATTATTTCTTTCCACTAGCCTAACTAAGAAATTAATGCATTGTCAAAGAAACAATGAAAAAGACTTTCTAAAGGAGAAATTTTAATTCCCCCCCACCAAAGCATTCTTTCAGACTGAACCCCACACCTCTAATGATGTTTGAAGATCCAGTTTGTGGCATCCCCCGTTGTTCACTGTTCTCACCTGTGTAAAACCGTGTCAATGGATAGAGCAGTTGCTGCAGGCACACATCATTTTGATTGCAGTCAAATTCCACATAAATCCTGTGGTATCTGGAAATAAAGGAGCCCTTTGGTCAGTGCTGTTCACACTGCTGAGCACAGCGTGAAGTTATCAATGTTTTTATCAAAACTACCTCATCTTTTGGACAGGTGGCTGAGCTGGGACCTCGATGAACTGGACAGAGGCCGTGATGGGCAGGGAGCTGAGGGTGTTCCCACAGCTCAGCCCACACTGGAACTGCCACAGCACCGTTGAGTAACTGTAACAACAAACACAGCTTTTACTTGAGGGCTGTAAATGAAAATTTAGAGCCTAAACACAACCATGAAAGGACCCAATACACCGTATTTGGGGGAGAACCCAAGTCTGAAAATGAGCTAAAAGGGAAGTGAATCACATTTATTTAATGGGGATTGACTGGGCAGAGGAGGGGAAAGCGTTTGCAAAGTGAAAATTCCATTTCAGGAAAGACTAAATCATTTGGCACAATCAAGTGGCAACGTTGTCCTGTGTTCTGGCTTATCCCACTGCAGAGCTCCCTTGGGAGCTCTGCAGTGGGATAAGCCAGAACACAGGACAATGTTGCCACTTCCACCACGTGACAAGAAATTAAAACATTTTTCTGGGTGCCCTGGGTCTGCCCACTGCTGGCAGCATCACAGGTTTGATTTCAAGTTTAAGGGAAGTAGAAAGATGATGTGGTTTTTAAGCACTAGTTTTGTGTTTGTTTGGGTTTTTTTTTCATTTGAGGAGGAGAAAGGCTAACCTGGTTGTGATCGAAGGAACTCGGGCTGCAAAAATAAAAGGTTTGTAAAAATCGTGACAAACCACCATTTTTTTGTTTCTTAATGTTTAAAGCTGGATTTGGTAGGTAAGGAAGGCACAAAATGAAACATTTCTGTTGTCAGCTAACCAGAGACACAACTCTCTCTACCTGATCTGCACAGCAAGAATCTGGTGCTGGGGAATCCCTTGCACTGCTCCCACTTCAGCAAACATGATGTGAATATTCAGGTTTGCAGGAATATCTGGACAAAAGCCTTTTAAGTTTCCAGTGCTCACATTGGCATCAGAATTCAATGGGTCAAGACCTGAGGAGAATAGAGTTATTTAAATGTAAATATTACAGAAAACATCATATATTCCATAGTTATTGTCATAGTCCAGTGAAACACTGGTAACTGTCACACAGAAACAGATTAAAAATGCTTTCTCTATATAAAAAAAAACACACAAAGAAAATTATTATACTCTTATTATTTAAAGGATTCTATATTGATCTGTTGATATCTATTTACCAACAGGTAAATGCCAAGTCATGTGTGCACAGGCTGGCAGTGAAATATTCAGTATCCACACACAAACTGAGTTATTTGCCTGTGTGTCCACGTACATGGAGAGATGGATCCAGACATCTCAGGACCTCAGGCATTTGAAATGACATTTGGGGTTGATTTGGAGCTGCTCTTCAGTTTCTGGGCACATTTAGAGTGTAAAGAACAACACAAACCTCACTTACGGATAATTTCCACCCAGTCCTCTGGGTCACTGTAACTGGAATTGTCCCTCTTTCCAACGTGAGTGGCTTGTATTAATGAATTCAATTTCTCAGCTACATTTCCTCTGCAAAATAAGAATGTAACATCCCCCAGGAGGTAAATCTGTCCTGGCTGCCACTCTAGTTGCAACATTATTGTACCACAAGCTCATTTTCCTCTGGAAGGTGTTAGCACTCCACAAAAATAAACCTGAAGCCAGGAGTTTTCTGTGGAAGGGAAGAAATGGCAAAGAATTCCCCCAACACAATCCTCATTTAATTACAGACTGAGGCCGTTATTATCATTTCCCTTTAAAAATAAAGGGAGACTTTGAACCCCAGAAAGCTGAAACACACACAAGAGTATTTAAAGAGAAGGTTCCAGTGCTGGTAAGAGGCATTTGCAGACAGTCATGTAATGACCAACACGAGGGATGCAGGGAGAAACAATTCAGCTGATGTGGCTCACCTTAAAAGGCTGCAATCCTCGTTCATCCCAACTTCCAGAATGCACCCAGAGTAGGAGTCTACTCCAAATAAAACTGGTGTGTAAGTTGCTGATGAACATAAACCTCTGCCAGCTGTGAAATGAAAGCATCTGACTTGAGCTTTCCTGTATCCACCTCTGGATCTGCAGCTTTCAGTTTTGTGCAAAACATCAAACATTGGAATGCAAACCCATCGTGGTAGAGTTCAAAAACAGATACAAGTCAATTCAACTTACATTTTGCAAGAAAGCATTAGAGGCTTTCTCACCATCCTTTAAAGGCTTGGGAAAGAAAAGCAAAATCTGGGGCAGATTTTTAACTAAAATATGTTTAAAAAAAAAAATCCTAAAACCAACAAAGGCCCAACATTTTAGCATTAACTGCAGCTGAAGCTGCAAGCTCACAAGCCAGTACCTGGCTGCCAAATGTTTAGGGTTCCCAGAGGATCAGAAGCATTTATATTTGCAGCTCTCACTGGTTTTCCAACTTGGTAACCTAAAGAGAGATGGGTAAATCATCAGTCTTGAGGTAAATGACCAGACATTTCCATTAGGATGGGAATAGCCTCACTTTAAATAATCTGCACAGTAGGATTTTTTTTTTTTTTAGTTTTGATAGGCAAAATAATAAAGTATGAATACCTGGATTCTCGGGCAGTTCTTCTTCATTAGTACTCTTTGATCTCAGAAATTCAACTGTGAATCTCTGTGTCAGTATTTCTGGTAAAAGAAAAAAATAGGACTTTACTTTTAAATGAGTAAATTAGCAGAGAGTATGGTGTTAAATTAGCAAAAACTCTGCTCTGTGTAGGTAAAAACTTCGGCCCTTCATTAGTAACAGAAGATTCAAAATAATACAAATTAATAAAAATAACCCCTTTACTTCTCTTTCCAGAGCCCAGGGGAAATTCGTTTTAAGATGTATTAGTAAATAAGAGATTCTATCCCAGAATTTCCATATTGAAGAAAACAATACCATAAAAAAAAAATCATCACAAAATGTCCTGATACCTCCATCACACAAACTTCCAAGGAAGACCGTGACATTTACTTGCTCAATGTTCTTGTCCTTGCAAATGAATGTGTAATGCTCTGCAAAAGTCACATTTTGACACAGAGCCTGGGCAGGATGAAGGCTTTCTGGCAGAAAGAAATCAAAAAAAGAGCCCATAATGAAAAGCATTCTAATTAGAGAGCTCAAAAAGAACACATTAAAACCCTGGCAAAATTCTGGGAGTTACAACATTCAGCTTTTTGAGAAGTGATTTTCCTGTTTCGATGTGCAATGGTACAATCTCCCAATTTATCAGTACTTTAACATCAGCAGTTCCAGGTCCTTTTGTAGCTGATTCTCTGCATGAGAACCCAGCCCTGGACTTCCCATCCCCAGCTGATGCCCTTCTGTGGACTGGGGACTCCCTCTGCTTCCCTCTCAGCCCTCCCCTCAGCCATCACTGCCCAGAAAAACTCCTTAGCTTGGATTGCATCAGTTTATTTTCCTCCACTGACTGGAAACCACTGTCCTACAGCAAACAACTGCTGAAAAAGGCCCTTAAAAGGGCACAAGAATTTACAAAACAGAGCCAATCACATCCCCTTGCAGTCTGCCCTCCACACTTACATGGTCAGCCTAGAGATTTTTTTAAGAATTCTTTCTGTCTTATTTTATTGTCATTGTTGGGCTTTATTTTTCTCTTGTGTAAGATAAGGGTCCTGATTTCTTGACCAACTTTAAACAAACTGGGGTAAATTAAATACTTCCTGCTTTGCAGGAAGCCACTTTACTTTTTCAGTGTTAGCTAACACACTAATTCCTCCTAAGAAGTGCAGCAGGTAAACATTTTAGGCAGTAAAATAATCTATTTCATAAACAGTCCAGGTTAGGTAAGAGACCTGTTAATTAACTGGAAGACACATACCACTTTCAGTGATGAACTTGCTCCTGTCAGTGATGGTTCTGTAGGTGACATTTTGCTGGATGAAGTCTGAGGATGAAAAAGAAACACAGACCTACTGGTTTCACAACATCCTCGCTGTTATGAACACTGGAGTAGAAAATTATTTAGAGAATTAATTTTGGTAAAGGTCCAAACTTTTTATGTATTTTGAAAGCAAAGCTAATTATCTCTGGGTCTAGAGAGACTAACAAAATTAGACAGTTATGGAGCATAAAATAAAATATCTTCATGCTGGTAATCATATTATCTCAAAGCCCAGAATGCCTCTTCCTAAGCACTTGCTTTTGTAATGCAGAGTAACCACTCCTCAGTGATTCTCACATGCTGATACCGCACCCTCCTGACGGGAAAAGGGCTCAGCAACACTCTGGGAATAGAAACGGCAGAGATGCTGCCCTGTCAATTGTAGCCATAACCAGCAGGAGTCACCAGAAACAGGGACATGGGAAACAAAGGCCAATCCCACTAGTTCTTACACGCTAAATCTTGGGAAATAGAGGGACACTTCCTCGAAGGTCATCAGGAACAGGACATCCCCAAACGTTGGAACTACAGCCCCCAGATAACAAATGTCACATGTAAATACTGTGCCAAAAGCCCTGGGTCTGGTCTGTTCTGTTCCAGCAGCTCTGAGAAACAGGGAACACATTCCTGGTGGGATTCAGGCAGCACATCTGCAGTGCCAGTGGGAACACATTCCTGGTGATTCAGGCAGCACATCTACAGTGCCAGTGGGAACACATTCCTGCTGGGATTCAGGCAGCACACCTGCAGTGCCAGTGTTTATCCTCACGTGGTGGGGCAGGCCTTCCTTGTAGGACTCCAGGCTGGTCAAGCATTTGACATCCAGGTCCTGCAGAAAGGCCACGGGAGCATTCCCAGCACACTGCCCAGCCAGGCTCTGCTGCAGGTGGGGAACAGAAATGTTACCAAAATACCTCAGTCTGTAGCAAAGCAGAGGTCAACATTTTGAAAGCACTTGTACAGTCTGGCTTTACCCTAATTTGTCACAGTAATTATAATCAACAAGTGTCTCTAAAACACAAAAGGAATCTGAAGTGTCACCAGATGGCTGAGATTCAAAGCCAACTATCTTGCTCAGCAGGAAAACCCAAAATACAGAATATGGTAAGTCATGAACTATTAACACATTGCCAAGATTGCTTTTACCTCTTGCAATAATTTAAACATGACCTCTGGGGATGGGCAGGGGGATCAGGAAAGATGTTTTCTTTGAATAATGATTTTGTGCTGCTTTTTTTTTAAGTGTTTTGGTGACAAATATATTCCCCCACTTCACAAGAGCAAGTTGGTGAATCTGGTTACAAGGGCACAGGGAATGGGATGTATGGAAAAGTATCAAACAAACCAAGAGGAATCAAAAGCTCCTAAACATGAAGTGATTACCTGGGGAATGGTAAAATACTCATTTTCTTCAGTTATGATTGGATCTCCTCGTCTGTAACCAGTGAAAAGTCTCCCAGGAGAAGTTTGTAAAGGGATTGTAAAGGCAGGAACTTTGGGTGTAGAACTGCAAACAAGTTTAAAAATCCTTTATTCTCTACCTCACACAAATAAAAGTCACGTTTGCTTTCATGTCCCACGTTCTAATACAGCACCACTGACATTTCTCCATTTGCATTTAAAGTTCACACCCTAAAATCCTAATTTCAAACTAACTTCCATTACCAAAACAGGTTCATTTGCATGTCTAACGTGTACGGTGAGAAAATTAATTTTCTTAAGACTTACGTAGAGCCATGATAAAAATAGCCAAGAAATGGGGTGTTGTCAAGAGAAGACTGCACACAAAGGAAGGGAAACCACTCAGGGGTGTATTCCATCGACTGGGAAGAGCAGAGCTGATCAAAAGGGGGGTTGACATCCCCACCAAACACCCCAGTGAAACACGAGCCGTTGAACAACTGCTTCATGTCTGCTGTGCACTCCTGAAAGGAAAGGAATGGGCACTTTTAGCGTGGTGGTTGCATCAGCAATGGCACTGTAGCCATATTTACAGATCAATTGAACAGTTTTGTGGAGGAAGGTCATATTTACTACTGGAAATAGTGGAAAATCCAAACAAGCCCTGGGGCCCACCCAGGCTGAAGCATTCAGCACCTTTCACTCCTCCCAGACAACAGAGTTTGGAAATTTTGCAAACACTTAATCAAAGTTTAATAGGAAATAAGTACCAGATCACAGCAACAACGAACATCACAAGCTCCAGCTGTTAAATCACAAGGACAAGAGCCCAAGGGCTGAAAGGCCTGGTTGGGGATGATAGTTGCATTTTCTGGAAGGGAATTAGAAGAGGAGAAAATCAGATTAAGTGGATTGAAATCCAAATAAACACGCCATGCACACTGCAGTTTATTCTGACTGGGAAGAAACCTTTTTTAAAATTCCATTATTACTCAGTATCTCCTACTGCTGCCCAAATCCCAATTTTTTTTTTTGTTCTTTAACACATCTAAACACTTACCTGAGACATTTCCTGCAAAGGAGGAGTTGGCAAATATTTCAGCTTGAATCAGGAGCTGTGCCAGCCTCACTGAGCCACGGCAAGCCAAAACCTGGAGTGTTTCCAGCACGCAGAGAGGGGAGGGGCAGCAGGCAGTGGCATTGGGCAAACACAGCTCCAGCTTTCTGCTCAGGCTTACAGTCACTTTGGAAGCGTTCTGGAAAAATGCAGAATAAAGTCTGACAGCTCTTATGCCTTGTATTTAATTGCTCTTAGTTATACCACTCGTCAGCTTCTGAGAGAGGAGTTGGAATGAGGTTGAATAGCAGGAGTTGGAGAAAGTTGGAATGACAAAAGGTTTGCTGCTGTGATTTGCAAGTACAGCAGGGATATGAACACACAGAGGACTTTTTAGGGCATGCACACAGATTAAGTTCCCTCAGAAAAAGGGAATTTCAGATTTTACAGCTCCTTTCAGTCAAAAACTGGAATAATGCTAGAGTTGATAAAACCCCTAAAGAATTACATATAACACTGAAGACAAGCCTAAGAAATCTAGATGTTCCAGACCCCATCCTGTATACTTTTTTATTTCTAGTAGATGCTTCCAGCAGAGCTGAAACAGCCTCAAATGCTACAGCCAGCCAGGAAATACAAGCAGTTCTGGAGAGGAGGAGAACAAGGGAGCAGCGTCAAAGCTGCACTTCAGCAAACTCCAGCAAGGGCATCCACACGATATGTCAAGGAGCAACAGATTCTAAATAGAGTTGTTAGCACATTAACATTATGCTAGTATTTAATTAGTACTTTACATACCACGCCAGGTGTTACATCCAAATTCCAATCACCGGCTCTTTTACTTCCACTGCAATTTGCAACTTGCAATTTTCCTATAGCAAAAAAAAAAAAAAAAGTATTCCAATAATTCAAACTTCTTTATTTACATGAGGGGGGAGAGGGGGAGGTGGAGTGTTCTTACCTGTCTCTTCATTTCCAGGACTTAAAATTACAGAAAAGTTAACTCCTGAAGAATTTCCAAGAAAAAATGAACTGACTCTGGGCCCTGACATATGGATAAATGAAGGCTGGAAGACTGAAAAGAGAAAGAAACAAGTCTTAATACGCACTGACTGAAAAAAAGGTAACATCTGTTAAGACATATTTAAGTCTTCTGCTTGGGCTAGATTCTTATATTCTTAAATTGTCACAAATAGAAGAAATGTATCTTGTAATGCCCAGTGCAGGGTTGTATTTACATTCTTGCCAAGCGCTGGAGCAGTTGGTTCGCCACGGCTTTCTGTGCCACAGCTTTACATTTGTGAAGATGCTCAGTAAACACGCAGCAAAATAACAAACATTACAGCAGGAGGCTGCAGCACTTACAGCCCATGCAGATACCACACAGCTCAGGCGACACCGTATTTCACATTTCTTACTGGCTTCAGCTGACACTTTTTAATTTCTTGGGGCCGTGAATGGTGCCAGGGGTGTCCCTGGAATTGCGGGCTCCTGCCCCCAGCATGGGGACGCGGTGTCAAGTTTAGGGCTCCGAGACGGGAGTTTCGCCGCATTTTTCGTTACAAACTTCACCAAGGTTGAAAGGTTCGACATAAGAAGCAGCACCCTCCCTCTCCGAGTCTCCCCCAGACGCTCGTGTTTGGCCAGGGGCACCCAAGCCCTCCAACCTCGCAATCCCCGGGGGAACCCTCAGCGGATCCGCGACCTCCCCTCACACCCACCCGGGCGGGTCCCGCCGCAGCGCGACCCTCATCCCCACACCCCCGGAGGCCGCCATTCCCCGCGGCGCTTCGTTCCCTCAACCCACCGGGGTCCCCGGCGCGCTGCCCGGGGCAGGGAGCCACCAACAGCAGCGGCAGGAGCAGCGCCCCGAGGCCGAGAAAGCCCATAGCGCCTACGGCGGCCACACGGCCGCCATCTTGCGGCGCCAGAGCGGTGCCATGGCAACCGCGAGGGCGGGAAGGGCCAGGGCGGGAAGGGCGGCCCCCTCAGGGAAGGCGGCCCCGGGAGCGACGGGCCCGACACACAGCCCGGCTGGGCCGCCGCGAAATGTGGGATACGGAACAATTATCCCAATAAAGGATGTTCTTTGATGTTTGGTCTTTGTATTACTTTCAGGCCTAATCAGCAAGAAGGGAGATTTAACCCGCGAAACAGATAGCTTGGTGTTGGCAAGCTCTCTGTGCGATGTCTGTGTATTAGAAAAACAAGTTACCTGTTGGTAGAATTGCCTTGTTAAAGTTTAGGGTTTGACCGTGCTTCAGTGATCTCAGGCCTGGGGGAGGTCAACAATACCTGGGAGGAAGGATGTGCCCCTGACAGTGAGCACAGTGAATAATTTACAGGTCACGGGGACAGCTGGTGGAACTCCCAAGGTAAGGAAGAAATGAATAAACCCAAATGAGCAACTGGGCTGGAATCAGTTTCAAGCAGGTAAAAGGTAATTCTGGCAGGGACAGATCTGCAAACATGGACCCAAAACCCCCCTACCCTAAGGAAGAGAAAGACTGAACATAGCACTAACTAGCATGAGAAGCAAGAGAATCATTAACCAACAGAAGATAGAATATTAATTAATATGAGAACGATGTAACTTGCAGCCACTGCACACTAATTCCTGTGGTGTTAAAATGTATATACAGTGAAAAGTTTTGACACCATCCAGTGTCACATCACACCATTACACTCACACAATAAAAATCCAACAAAGCCATTTAGCTCACCCTTAAATATGTCATTAAAGCAATATCTGGCCACACTTGCAAAAGAAACGGTTTTTATTACAAAAGTTTTATACAAAGTAAATTATAAATACAGCCTTTCACACAAAATGGCTTTTGGCAATCAAAAAAGCTCGCCTTGTACTCTGGCAAGCCTGGAAAAAACTGGCACTAAAGCTGTTACAGTGACAAAACCTGATATCAAGACATGACAAATTCTTGTGTGGACATTAGGAAGAAAAAAATTACATCTTTTCTATGTAGGAAACAATTCCTCTCTGTATTCCTTCCAGGAGAATGGCAGTAACTAAAACAGGCTAAACCTCCAAACTACAGTTACTTTTTAGATGGGGATATTGTTTGGTTAGTGTTGTCCTTGTCAAATGCCAGATGTAAACTCACATTCTGAAAAAAGAAGCGTGCCTGCTGTCATATTAAAACTACATTTTTTTGTTTTCCAGTTTCAAAATACAATCTTAAAGACTAAGCAGTTATTCTGCATTTATTGGTGTTATTTTAAACAAAGGGAGGCCTTTTTATTCCCAAATGAAGATATATCAAATTGAGGAAGAAGTACCACAAGGACAATACAGTCAAAGGAACAGGAATACATGTGAGTGCACATGTAGGGCAATTAGCACCTTTTTATTCAAGTGGCTCCCAAGCCACCTTGAAAATGTTGGCTCATTTCTTTTGGAACTGATGCTGTTTCAGTCCAAAAATTGCTAACCAGGAGCTGAAGTCCCTGAACAACATAATGCTATGGTTCTGATCCTACACACACTGGAACTGGTCATTCTGAACTCTACACCAACAAAAATAACCAGAGCTTTCTTGTTCTTTGAAAACAACTGAGAGGTGGGAAACTTTGCAGTGGCCAGAATACCTTCAAACTTCACAGGCTGTGTCTCTTTACAGGATGTAACTTCTGGTTCCTCTTACAGTTCAGAATTAGTTATGAAAAACAGCACAGGTTACATGGTAATAAAGTCATTTGTTACTTAAAGGGCTGCATAGAAGACATTCCATTTAAATACTTATCCCCTAACAAAAAAGTAATAGCACTTCATACAGTTCTCTTTCATATCCAATAAGAAGTGCCAGCAATTTCTCGAGCAGGTTCCATTTCATGGAATTACTGGAGGAGGTAACGATGTATTTACATACTGTTGTTACGCAGCTAACTTTAATTTCTTCTTCTTTGCTTTCATGACAGGTGGCAATGATATTTTGAAAGCAGTCCTGAAAAAAAAAAACAAACAAACATGAAAAAAGGAACTGTCAGATACACTGACCATATTTCCACAGCCAGCCCTGAGGTACAAAGAACAAACACTTACTCGCAGGTACTGCAAATGGGACTGAAGTTGCAGAATACTGGAAAAGAAAAGAATTGGCTTTCACTAAAATAGGTCATTTGAATGTAAGAACTCAGACTCTTCAATATTCACAAACTCACTTGACAAGCACACAGAGCACACGTAGCCGATTTCAATGAGGTTCCGATGGCAGAAACACGCGGCTCTGTAGTCAACGTGAACAGGAGGTGGGAGGACCAGCTGTGACCTCTGCTCTTGGTCAGGGAGAAACACCCACTGCAGGGAGGGAGCAAAATACTCTGTGAATTGGACTGGTACTGCTGTATCTCCTCCTCAGTGATGTTTCACATCTGACACAGGGAAAAACCTCAGGTGTTTTCTCAATGACTTACCAACAAATACTGCAGGAGGGATGGCATGTGGGGCACTTTCAGGTATATGCCACCCGTAATGTCACAGGCCTGCAAAGCAGAGACAGTGATCAGGTTGGTGTTTTATGACATTAATAGGATATTTAAAATGTCCTTGTACTGCACAAGGCCTGCATGACACAACTGTCAGATCCACTGAACATATTTTCACACCCACTTCTTCCTTAACGGAAGGAAAAGAGCAGAACGTGTTTAACTACCTGGCATCAAATACCTGTGAATTAATACAAACAGCAAACAAGAGCAGGAACTCTGTACCTGTTGTAGAAGACCCGAATCTGAGTCCAGGACACAGGCATCAACCAAAATACTCTGCAAGGAAAGAGAGGAAATGGATGAAAATCAAATTTAACCGGGACCAACACAGCCCCCCCAGTGTTCCTGACATGACTTTTTCCCACTGCACATGCACCCCACATAGAAATGCACCTGCTTTTGCAGATGCAGGGCCACCACAGCCACTGGAAAGCTCTTTCACTTGATCAGAACGTAATCATTAGAGAAACTAACCGATTTGTCATCTTATGCACATTAATAAAAGACAACGTAAAGTTAAAGAAAAGCAGCTTCACCTGTTTCTGCGCTGCAAAGACCACATTCATGAAGTTCATATATTGCAACGTGCTGTCTTCTGCAGCTTTTATGACCTAAATAAAACAACTCAGACTTGTCAGCCTACATACATCACTGGAGTTGAGGACTAAAAGAAAAAAAACTGACAGCAAAAGTTCTTACCAAAATCCTTGATTTCATTTCTTGATTGGCTAAGTATTAAAAAGAAAGAGAAATGCATCAGCACATTGTTTGCACCACCACAGTTTGCCCTTCCAATTCTGTAATCTCAGGTAGATACTGAACCTCTTGCATGTTAGATCTAACAGGTCAGATAAAATATGTATGAAAATGTTGTCCAGTCCCAGGACTAATCTGTGGATCAATTCCTCTCGACCTCAAAGGAAATTCCTGTTCCAGTTTTACTCACATACAATAGAAAATCTGCATAAGAACGTGGACTATTGTTCAAGTCCTTTACTCCTGATTGTCACCCAGACCTTCTTTAAACTGGGCAACTTCAAATGATCAGAATAAAACCTGTCCTATAAGTATTACAAACAGGAGAAGGTGTTACCTTTCACCTCTTTGCTCATCTTGTTGATGTCTACATTAGCTGACGTTAAGGAATCTACATTCCATTCTTGGAAATTACTCCAGGATCCATACCACATCTTCAGCACCTTGGCCAACACACATCTAACAAGCACAACCCACAGTTATTAAGCAAACGTTTCAGTGTGTAATATTAAAAAAGGAATAGTAAAACTTAATTACTATTACAAGAAACAGTCCTAAAACACATGGAGGCTTTGCAGATTCCGTGATCAAAAGGATACAACAAAGTGCTTTAGCAAGAGATCCTGCTAAGAGGGTTTCTGTTTGCTGGCCCTTCATCTCAGCTGCAACACAAGAAAAGTTACAAAACTTACTTTTAGATATAAAAAACAGTTGTTGAAACTGTCCACACCAAATACTCAAAGATTTATCTTTGGCAAACAGGATAAAAGCAGAAACCTGAAGTGTCAAGCATAATAAATTTGTCTACTTTAAACACATTAAAATTCACATTATGAAAATAGAGGAAATTCCTAAAACTCCTTGAGAATCCAAGTATTTTGCAATTCTGCATATTAAGCCTAGAATTTTATTCTCCTTACTTTTTGTCATGAGGTCTTTAATCTCTTCTGCAATTGCATCATTTATTGCTGTCAATAATTCATATTTTCCATCCTTGCTGCCAGAGCAATTCGATTCCATGGAACTGCCTCCATCTCCAAAGGGATCTGCAGAAGCCCAGCGCTTCCCAGGGTACAGGAAACGGCTAAAGCAGAGGAAAAGCCAAGGATTCATGTTTTGCCTTTAACCTCGTAAGAAAAACTGTCATAAATGAATTGGCTGCAGATAGCAATACTATATGAACTATAATTTCAAATACTTTTAATCCTTTAGACATTAAATTTCTTCTTTTAAGACAATGATATATTACCCACATTAACTTGGTTTCAATTATACACTTCAATCCAGTGAGAAAATCAGAAGACAGATATAGGAAAGTGCATTTGAAACCTTTACACTGTTAAGAAGCAGCTCTACCTTTCCTGTGTGTGACTTGCTATCACAGCCAGCTTGTTGGTGCGATTCATGAACAAGTGGGAATTTCCCAGCACCATCACCGCATCGATGCATTTCGACAGAGTGAACTGCTGCAGAAGAAGGAAACAGTAGATACAGCACAATAACAGTTAGAGAGAAGCAACTCAGAAGAAACCTGTGAAATAACTGCAGTTTAAAAGGAGTGTTCTGATATCCATTATACCCGCTTTAGCTGACAACGTTAGGATAGTTCAGAAATCAGAGACTCCTCTCTCTCTTGCCCACTTACTAACGATTAAAGAAAATGACAGCGTTCCCCTCAGCAATGGCCACGGGCAGTACCAGGGCAGTACCAGGGTCGTACCTCCGCCTCTCCCAGCGCCCTCTTCCCCCACCAGATGGGGTTGGTGTCGATGACGATGACCAGCAGGCTCAGCTCGTCCTCTGCAAAGGCACCAACACAGCAGCGTCACTCGGGGCCGGGGGCAGAGGAGCCCAGTGCAGGTGACAGAGCCGTGACCGAGAGCCCCGCTCCGGCCTCTGCCTCCTCCACGGGACACCCGAGCCCCGCTCCTGGCACCTCCCGACCCCCGCCGCGGTACCCCCGAACCCTGAATGCGGTGCCCTCAGACCCTGAACGCGGTACCCCCGGACCCTGAACGCGGCACCCCCGGACCCTGAACGCGGCACCCCCGGACCCTGAACGCGGTACCCCCGGACCCTGAACGCGGTCTCCCCGGACCCGCCGCCTCACCCGCGCTCATCTCGCCGGTCGGCAGAACCGGCTGCTCCCGGCGGCCTCAGATGACGCTCCGGCCCCGCGCTCCGTCATCCGGAGGCGCCCCGGCCCTGCCCACGCCCCGGTGCGGCGGGAGGAGCGGAGCGGGGAGCGATGAGCACGGACGGTACCGGGGGGATACCGGGGGGCGATGGGCACGGACGGTACCGGGGGGATTTCGGGGGGCGATGGGCACGGACAGTACCGGGGGGATAGTGGGGGGCGATGGGCACGGACGGTATCGGGGGGATTTCGGGGGGCGGTGGGCACGGACGGTACCGGCGGTGCCGGGCCGGGCCAACGCGCCCCGTTGTCTTCCAGCCTTGATCGAGACCTTCCGGGCGCAGCTGAGGGACGACCCCGATGTGGCCTCGGCCGTGGCCGCCATCCGCGCCCTGCTGGGCTTCCTCAAGCAGGACCGAGGTGGGCCCGGGTCCCCTCCCCGCTGTACCCCGCGTGTCCCCGGGGCCAGCCCCTGACCCTGCCCCTCTGCCTGTCCCCAGGGGAGACCATCCAGGGCCTGCGGAACAGCCTGCGGGACGCCATCGACACGCTGTCGCGGGTGGACTCCTCGGTGGCCGTGTCGTCCGGCGGGGAGCTGTTCCTGCGCTTCATCAGCCTCACGTCCCTGGAGTACTCGGTACGGGCCGCCCCGCCCGGCCCCGCCGTGCCGGGGGACCCTCCCGCCTCACCGGGCATCCCGCTGTCTTCCAGGACTACTCCAAGTGCAAAGAAATCATGATCGAGCGCGGGGAGATCTTCCTGAGGAAAGTGTCTCTCTCGAGGAACAAAATCGCCAAGCTGTGCCACCCGTTCATCAGAGATGGTGCTGTGAGTAAGGCCTGGCAGGGTCACCCCCGTTCTCACTTCTGCACTGTTAACAAAAGTAAAGGGTTCCCAAAGCTCAGCGAAAGGAATGTCTGAATTTCCTTTGTTTTGGCAGAGAATCCTGACCCACGCCTACTCCAGGGTGGTCCTCAGGGTGCTGGAAGCGGCTGTGGAGGCAAAGAAGCGATTCAGTGTTTATGTTACTGAGTCACAGCCAGACCAAGCAGGGCAAGTACTCGTTAATTTGGTTTTTATCTTGGTTAACAGGGTGAGTTACAGCCACCATCAGGCCTAGCAAAGCTGCTAGGCTTGGCTGCAGCATTTTAAATGGCAGCTGTCACTAATACCACATTATTTTGGACAAGTGAAAAAAAAAAAAACCTAAACAATATTGGTAATTAACTTCCCATACCAAATATTCTAATTACTGTTATCCAGGTTTTCCTCAAACGTTTATAAACTTTCGGTTAGTGCCAGGCAACCTGCTTTACCCTTGAGAGACAACTGATTTCTAATTGTCTCCTTCAAAAGTAGGGCAAAATAATCAGATTACCCTGATCATAGCATAGTGAAATGTATAGGTAACAATGTCATTGGAAGATGCCAAATAAAATAATTACTTCAGAGCATATTTTGTTGCATAAGTGAAGGAGTAAAACCTGCACACTGGATAATACACATCACTAACAACTCACAACACCACACTAACAATTCCTTCCATTTCTATGCAATAACTTATTTTCTGTTCTACAAAGAGCATGGACAGTCATGGGTTTCAGTCTTTCAGACAATATTTTCCTATCACTGTCCTTAAAGAAAAGATTTTTTAAGGTTCAAACATGTCTTTTTTAACAGGCAAAAAATGGCAAAAGCCCTGAGGAAGCTGAACATTCCCGTGACTGTGATTCTGGATGCTGCAGTTGGGTAAATCTGATCATAAATCTTAATATTTTTCATCACAGCTGTATTTTAACAGTGTTACATATAAGTTTTCTAAAAGCTTTTTCAAACTCCAGAGGTTATTAATTAGTTTGTCGTAGTCATCAAACAGGCTAAACAAGTTACACCTTCAGGTGCACAATTAGGAGAATGTGTCTGTATTTGGTTTTCCATGTTAGAATGAAAGGAGGAGTCAGAACCAAGTGTAGAACTCAGAGAGATCTGTGAAAAGAACTGAGGTTCTACACAAAGAGCTACTTTCCCCCTCATTTGCATAAGTGATCCCATTTTGGGGGTTTAAGATATTTGCTAAACTACCACTGCTTACTCCAAGTCCAAAACATGGAAGAAGAAAGAACTGTAGTAAATCTGAACCTCGAGAAGTTCAAAATGCCCAAGACAGTTCCTCCAACAGACTTACAAGAGGGGGAACTGGTGCAGGAAAGTGAAAGCCTGCTTGAGTTACTCATTTCTGTTCTTTTCCCCTCTCTGAACAGCTACATTATGGAGAAAGTGGACCTGGTGTTGGTTGGTGCTGAAGGTGTGGTTGAAAGTGGAGGCATTATCAACAAGGTAATCCTGAGTTTCTTCCATCCTTCTCTAAATTCTGCACTTCTAAAGTTTGGCTCCTTTGAAGAGTTTAAGGCTTTTTGAAAAGTCTCTTCTATTTGGATGTTTTCCAGTAAATGTCTCTTTATTGTTGGAAACTGGGCAATAGTGCATGCAAGCACTGAGTCTGCAATGTTGTTTTCTGTCTCCACAGATTGGCACTAATCAAATTGCTGTGTGTGCCAAAGCCCAGAACAAGCCATTTTATGTGGTAGCAGAAAGTTTCAAGTTTGTGAGACTTTTCCCTCTAAATCAGCAGGATGTCCCTGACAGGTTTAAGGTAAGAGAATTCTCTTTCCACCTTACCCAGCTAAAGTTCACACTTGTGTGTCCGTGAAAAATCTTCCTCTTAGCACATTCATCTGGATCTCTGTGCTGTGGCACATATGGAATGGCTCCACTGTACACTCATGTGCCAAACAGCCATTATTTGTCTTAATACTAATATTTAGTTCCTAAAGCAGTTCCTTCGGGGTGCAGGAGCAGCTGAGGGTTAGAAACAACTAAACCAGTACACTTTAGGACTACAAATTGTACTTTTTACACAAGATAAAGCAGCTGAGACCAAGGTGGCACCAGTCTCTGCACTTGACTTCCCTCAGGTATTACCACAAACATCTGCCCAAGGCTGTGGTACTGCTCCTGCCCCAAGGAGGATTTGACCTGCAGTCAGTTGTGTGATTAACTGGTGGTCTCTGTTTCCTTCCAGTACAAAGCAGACACTCTGAAAACAGGGCAGAATCTCACAGAGGAGCATCCCTGGATCGACTACACATCCCCATCACTCATCACGCTGCTGGTCACAGACCTGGGTGTGTTAACTCCCTCCGCTGTCAGTGATGAACTCATCAAGCTCTACCTGTAACACACAGGACTCCCTGCACGGGATGTGTCATCTTCAGTGACCAGCAGGGCTGTAGGACTTGGAAGATGGTACAAGTTACAGGAACGTGGCAAGGAAACGACATCATAAGGATTAATGTCATTATGGAGCACTCTTCAAAAAACTCCAGAAGCTCCTACAGCTTCTACAGACCTAAAGTAAATTATTTTAAAGATGGGTGGAGTATTTTGATACTGTAAATTAAAGTACCTTATGGTGTATTCAGACCCGTTCTGAGGTGTGCTGTTACTGACCTGTGGGATGCATGTGAAAAAAAGCCAAAATTAAACCATGCACAAGGCTGCTGATGGAAACTGCAGCTCCTGCCACACCAGAGTGGTGCTTTTAGCTTGGCTCTCAACAACAACTGCAGGCTGGTTTGTGTGTCTTTCTGGATGCCAGGTCTCTCCATGAAGGAACTGGATCAGTTCTGTTCTCTGCATCATTTTTTATACAAATCCAGATTTATTGAAATAAGCAGTATTTTAATGTAAAAGAATAAGTGTCAGCCTTCAGACTCTGTGTCAGCACCAGTTTCTGCTTTGAGCCTGCTCTGGCTGCCTGTTACTTTCTTCTCAAACTCTTCTTCACTGATCTTCCCCTTTTTTAGTCTTTTCAAGAGTCTTGTGTCATTCAGCAGCTCTTCCATATCCTCATCTTCGATATCAGAGCCCTGTTGACAGTTCAAAACAACAAACTGAACACTACACCAGACAGTTTTCATTCTGTACAGCTGAACACCAGAAGATTACAACCTGGATTTTGCCAGGAGTATCTAAGCAGGAAATAATACTCAGTTCCAACCCAGGAAACTCTGTAACTCTCAGCTACTCTTGTTGAAAATTAACAAAAGCAAGGAAAAATCAAGCCCTGCCCACCATCAGGCCCTCCTGCAGGACTCCAGAGAAATAAAAATCCCTGCTAGCTCTGCTGGCAGCACTCATAACCAGCATAAATGCTGAGAAATTGGTTCAGTGTTTGGCTTTAAAAAGCTTCTCTGTAATTTTTTTTGTTAAGATTTGCTTGTCAAGGTCCTAAAAAGTTACTTTACAGCCATCAGTTCCACCACACTAAAATCCCACTGCCATTTGAAACTATAATCACTTGCATTTTAACACAATAACACAGTTACCTCTTCACGCTTCCTTTTAGCTGTTACTTTCTTTTTCCTCTCCCTCTTGGCTTTCTGCTTTGACCAGGCTTTGTTCTTTATGAATTTCTTTTTCCCTTCATTTTCTTCTCTCTCTTTTCTTTGTTGTTCTAATTTCTTTTGTCTTTGCTTTTCTCTGTTTTTGTCCTTAAAGGAAATGGAGTCTGTGTTCACAGTGACTGGAGTAAAGTCTGGAAAGCATTTTCCTCTTAGTTCAGGCATCTTTGGCATTTTTAACAATGCAAAACCTCTGGCAAGACTGGCAAAATCCAGATCTGTTGAAACAAAGATTATAAAGTCAGTTTCCTGCTGGATAAAAAGTTAATTTAAATGAGAAAGAAAAAAAAGAAAGCCCCAAATTATTTTAGTGTATTGTTTGTATTCTATACTTAACACCACCAACAATACTAAGTCACTTTTATTTATATTTCTATCGGTTAGGTCGAACTCCATAATGAAATGTTTTCTCTTGAAACAAGCTGCTTGAAAAAAACCAGGAGTTTTGTCAAAATCTGATGTTGTAGAAAGTGAATCTGAGAGTGAGAACCAGCAGTTGAAGCTTGGGGACAATAATACCACGGGGGTTTTTTTTCCCCAACCAAATCCTGTCCTCTGAAAAGAACAGGAGAGGACTCTGGCCCTGCTGGGAATTACCTTTCATTCGGAAGATCAGATTGCACTCGTGTTTGGCATAAGCCTGCACATAAGACACAAAGGCTTTCATCCCTTTCTCAAACACTGCCCTGTCAGCCAGGGCCATGGACTTCAGTTTGGGAAGAAGATCCAGCACGTTGGGCTGTGGTTTCATTTCCTGCATGGGACACTGAGAAGCAGAAAATAAACAACAAAAGCGAAGGGAAAGTTCAGCTGGATGGTGTAAAATGCACGGTGAAACCTCAAACACACACTTTCTGCCCAGTTCATCCTCAGGGAACTTTGAGCCCCTTTCCCCTTGGTCATTCCAGCACACCAGGTGACCATCAGCCCCACACAGCAGCTGTCCTGACCCAGCAGGAGCTCCCACACTGCAGCCCTGGAGAGGCAACATCATCTTGTGCCTTCTCAAACTCTGATCTCATTAGCAGGTCCCTGGAGAATTTATACAATTACACAAATGCAGGAGCAGGCATGGGGAAAAGAGTCAGAAATGAACAGCACAGAGGATGCAGTGTGTCAGCTGCTGGTGGCAGGGCTGGGGCAGGACTGTAAACCAGCACTGCCCTTCTGCAAATGCACCATTTACAACCTTAGGGACAAAAAGCTTTTCCTTACTCATTGCCCCACAGGTTCCTCTTCCAAACTCAGTAGGCTCCCATCAGCCTGTCCCCTTGCTCTCTCCTGCTTTAGGGTGGGATAAAATCTCACCAACCTTTTGGTTGATGGAGAGGAAGTTAACGTAGGACTCCTCCATGGGAAGCAGGAACACGAGCGCGCTGCCGCCGTGGCCGATGCGCGCGGTGCGACCGCAGCGATGCACGAAGGCGCTGCAACAACCCAACCACAGCACAGTCAGCCTGATCTGAAACGTCACACGGGCAGCAAAGAGGGCCTGGGGATGTGCAATCACTGGGGCAGTGATTTAATGGAATTTCCACAGTTCTGGTTCCCACTTTACATCCGAGCAGCACAAGAACACGATCGCACGGACAGGAGAGGTTCTAAGGACATGGAATTGTACCTGGCGCTGCTGGGTGGGTCGTACTGCAAAACCCAGTGCACCTCTGGGATGTCGATGCCACGGGCCATCACATCTGTGCAAACCAAAATGCCCCTGGCAGGGAGAAAAGGTGTATTGTCGTTAAACTGTCATTTAAAGAGAGCCAGCCCCCCCAGCTCTGTGTTCTGCATCTTCACTGGATGGGGGGGGGGGGGCAGAACATTAGAAACATTTGGGGGTTTTAAAGAGACAAAATATCAGGTAACTGCAGCTTCCACCAACTAAAAGTTCATATAGCGTTATGAAAATTATTGTGATTTATATTACACTTCTAAGAAAAATCAATTTCCTGTTACATATTCAAATTCTAAATCAGCATTGCATCCACCACAGCTGAATGTACAAATGTTTCACTAAAAAACTTAAAGAGAGTGACGATTTTACCAGAGCAAAACTGGTCTTTTAAACAGCTGTCCTTCCAATCTGCTGGTAATCATTTTTCTCATAATATAAAATGCCAAAGCTCAGGTCCCACACAGTAAATAATGACAGCTCACGAGGCAAGAGCCTCTTAACATCCTGCAGAGCTGCCAAAGAACACTTTCCTGCAGTTAAACTCCAGCCTTGTGCTGCCACATTCTTGTTCATGCACTACAAAAAGAATATCCTGGGGTTTTGCTCTGGTTCCCACTCCGTGATATTATAAATACACCCAGATCCAGCCTGTAGCATCCTCCTCCTCCTCAGCTGTTCTTCCCTGCTCAAGCAGCAGGAGAACAGTCAGACAAAGTCACCAAAATGCCCCTCAGTGCTCTGGCTTTTGGCTGGTTCAGCCCATTCCCAAGGTCTTACCCTGGGAGCTTCCGGAACTCCGTAAAGATCTTGTTACGCTTGTGCTTCATCTTCCCGTGAATGCTCATTATTTTCACCTGTTTAATCAAGGATTCCAAAGCCTTCCCATAATATTCCACACAGGCACACGTGCTGGGGTGATAAAGACAGGCATGAAGTCAAACGATTATGTTGCATTTTCAATCTGGTTTAGACAGTCAAGGTGTGAAATGTTTAAAAAATATACACTATTGACTATTTTTATATAAAATATGTACATAATTTTTTATAAGTTACATATGATCAGCTATAGTGTCTCACTTTAAAATTGCATATAAAATTTCTGTTTTGCTTAATAACATTCAACACAATCCTCACGTGCTGAAATGATTCATCTCTTTTTAGGCACCATATTCTACAAGACAGCTCTCAAAATTATTCACTTTGAAAAAGTTGTATCCTTGGCAACACAGGGCAGTTTTGGAATTTAATAAAACACTATTAATAAAACTGTTTTCACAATGAAACACCAACAGAATTACCTAAAAAAGACCAGGTGCTTTTCCTGTCTGTGCTGCCGAAGAAAATGCACCAACTGATTAAATTTTTCGTCTGCTCTGCAGATCTAAACAATGCAAGAGAAAAAAACAGAAAAGTCAGAAAACAGACTTGTGATTCCTCTCTTAACACCATCCTAAGGCTTAAAAACTTATTGACAGAAGCAGGAAAAAAAGGAGGGGGAACAAGAAGCTCTCCCAAAGCCCAGGTTCGCACCATGTAATAGTTCTGCAGGCGGGTGGGAGTTTTCTGGGTGTTGGTTGCTGCCACTCCCTTCTCCTTCACCGCGATCCGGACGGGATTCCGGAGCCCTGCTCTCACCAGGTTCTCCACCTCCTGAGTCTGAGTAGCTGAGAACAGGCCTGTCCTTCTCTGCTTGGGCAGAAAGTCCAGGATGGCATTCAAACTGCAAGCAAGCACATGGAAAACGTAATTGTCCCAAGGCTCCCCCTCAGAAAGGGGTTTAATCACCGAAGGAAGGGTTTACAGGAATTTACAAGGTTTTATCATCACGTGCCAAACTCCTGCTGAAATAATTAAACCACAGAGAAAAGGGAGATCAAAGTTTATTTGTTAAAGTGTTCTAAGCCGTTCTGATGTGTGAATAATGACGTGTTAATAAACATCTTAAATAGAGAAGTGTTCATATACATCAGAACAAAAGAAATTTTACACTCTGTATTAATCAAGGATCCACTTTTTCTGATTCTCTTCCCACTCAGGAACTGCTTTATGGAGCAAAGAGAGATAAAAACAAAACAGAACGAATCGTTGCAGGCCACACTCATTCACATCAATCATTTGAACCCATTAAAAACTCGAGGATTATCAGAATTATTCTTTCAATACCTGGCTTCAAAGCCCATATCCAGGAGCCTGTCTGCTTCATCCAACACCAACACATCAAGAGCCTTCACACAACTTGCGAGATCCAGTCCGTCCCCTTTTCTCCTGAACAAATCCTCCAGGCGCCCCGGGGTGGCCACGATGATGTTCCCGCTGTTCAGGGGAGAGACAAGGTGGGGGATCTG